GTCATGTCAGCATCCAACATCAGACGTGGCTTCCTCCCTGCTGGCCTGCCACTTGTCAGCTACGTGATGGAAGAGAAGGAGGGAGAGTGATCAAAATTGCACGTATGTTCATACCCACTCTTGTAAGGAGCAGGCCTCGGGCTAAGACAAAGGATTTGAGAGGTTTGAGACCTTGTGGATGCCTCCTGGATTCTTTCCTGCTGGGTCATTTCCTTGCAGCCCTGTCTGGTTCTCTAAGCTCACCTGGGTGTGTTTGCAGGCAGTCAGACCTGTATTGTGAAAGAGAAATTAGACACTTAACCTTGGTAATAATTAACTTCCATAGCCTTGTTTGCTACCTCTTTGTTACGCTTTTATTGTAGTTTGTTTGCTCACTTCTGAGGAAATTCTTTTTGGCATTTTATGAGTTTTTATGAAGCAGAGTAAGAGAATTAAACCGTGGGGCTCAGGTGCAGAGGAAGGATTTCTTTCTTTCTTTGGCAATTCACCTGTATAAACACAAATTGGGGACGGGTGGAGCTCAGGGGCAGCGATAGCAGAGTGGAAACATAATAAACAGGTTTCCCATCGTGTTTCTTGTTAAGAGTCTGCTTGAGAAATGCCTGATCACGTATTGCAGACTGATAACCTTCCTGTCCTCAGCTGGGCGAGAAGGACCGGGTGAATTGCTGTGCAGTTTGTGCAATCCGTGCCGAGCCCTGTGGAAAGGTCCCTGGAATCTGCCCTTGCCACTAGGGACACGTCAGGGCAAACAGCCGCTGGAACAAAGAGCCTGGTACTGAACTGCAGGGTTTGTGGGCACAAAATGTTGAAAGTGCAAACGCTCCCAATTATTTTCATCCGTATTAAACAGTGTCTCTTCCAAGGAGACCTTTTAACTTGAGCCTCTTGGTTGGAGTGTCCTTTCTGTGTACACACAGTGCTTTGCAGAACATCGGTGCGTGCCTGACAAAGTGCTGCCTGCCAGCCGATGGTGCAGAAGGGGGTAGTGCTCAGTGGTTGAGGGATGCTTACTGTGGTGTGGGGGGGTGCGGGCTTGGCATGGGGAAGGAATTTGATCTCTTGTGATACCTTTTTTTTTTTTTTTAAAGTGTAATGTCATATATGTCTGGTGGTTGTTTTTTTTTTGTAAACAAGATCTTTTTTTTGTTTATTTTGCCAGCAGACTATATCAGAAGCCAGACTTGTTTCTGTATTGAAGCACTCCAAATTGGCTTTCATATGCAATCAAGTTCTCCTTATTCAAGTTCTCCTTATCTACCGCTGCATGTGCAGCAGTGAATTGTTTCTCTATAATTTCCCATAAAAACATTTCAAGAGAATTAAGAGACATACTTTGGCTGTGGTTTCAAGGACAAAGAGAGCTGATGTAATAGTCCTTTCACTCAGCCTTCTGCTCCTGCAGCATACCTTGCTCTAGTTTCTACATTAATTGTACCCAGCAAAACCAACCCTGGTCAGATTTCTGATCTGCCCTTGTACTGGCTTTGGTGCTATCTGCTCTTCTGCACCACTATATGTGCTAGCACAGACCAAAGTACGTGCAGCAGAAAACGCAGTTAACTTCATGTAAGGTTATTAGGCTGAAATGCCTCAGTGTAGGGTTACCTGAGCGGAGAAGTTAATGTGGGAAGCACTTGAGCAGGAATCATGGCACAAACACGTGAACTTGCTGAAACTGTTCTGCTTTCACAGGTGACACACATAAACTTCCATAAACTACTGAAACTCTCAATAACATTAAAAATATCAAAGCTTGTTAGGTTCCTTGTTCACATTTTACCTGTGGAGAAGCTATTTAAGAGCCCTAATTCTAAGATGGTTACACATTTCTTTGTGATTTCTAATATATGCTTTTTTCTGCCAAGTTTGTACCTTTAGGAATGCAGTGAATGAACGCTTTGTTTTGTGTATGGCATACTTTGTGCCAACATAATAATTTGTTTCCCTCTTCTGAGCTTACTCCTTTGAAGTATCTTGCAGTGCTTCTGTGTAGCACTCAAGTGAGGCAGGCTGCTCTTTTTGCCTTAGATTCAAATTCTAATTCAGATTAAATTCATTCTTTGTGCATTAGATTCCCCACAGCATATCCCAGCAATCCTGTTCTGTTTTGAAATGCATAGTATTCCAGATGGTATCTTACCGATGTGTTGCATAATGCCGTTTTAATTTCGTTATTGCTGACATTTTTGAATGACTTGCAGCAGTAACCTTCAAGATGACTAAATCTACCTAACATATTCTACTTAAGAAAAGATAATATTGATATGATTCGAGTCCATCTAATTAACTGTTTGTTGTCTCTGTACATGTCTTAGTATTGCTTCATACTTGTCTCCTTCCCCATTACTGTATACTGTTTGTTTAGGTTTATATTGTTTTCCCTAACAAACAGGTTATTTTGCTTCTGGAATTCCTGAAATAAATCCTGAGTGAAATTGAAGAATCACATTCTTGGTATAGATTTGAGATGGCAACAGGTGGTAAAACCAGAATGTATGTCAGCGCAGTGCATGCAGTAGAATACTTAAAACAATGATCGGTTGACTAAATGGATCGTACCTACCTTTCTAAGAATAGTTTGATATTTTAAGTGACATTTTCTCCTTATTTGCATTGCCACAGAAGAATTGATTTTGGAGCTTATAAACGTTTTTCTTATTATAAAAATAAGGTTGTTTTGCTATCTTCTTTCATTTCTCATCCTATACCTGTAAATAGGGAGTGTTGTTAACAAGAATAATAATTTGAGCCAGCTGATGAGAGGCTTGCCAGAAAGGCTTTTGTTTTGTAGGAACTGTACCAGTTGGTCTCATAAAAACACACTTGCTGCTTCCCAGAAACTTTGCTTGTTTAAATCATTGGTGAAAAGTGGATGTTTTCTCTTATTCAGGCATTTGATTTAACAATGTTTTAGAGGTGAATTTGGCTAGGGTTTTAAAATAAATCAAGAAAGCAAGCTCCCTCAAAATGCAAGCTGAATTCTGAACATAGAAGTAGGTCTACAGACTTTAAAGTGTTTGTTTTCAAATAGAAAAGCTGTGTAGTGTCACTCTAGCACGGGGATCGTTCCCATCTGTGAGCAGCACAGAAATGGTTGTGGTGTGGTTGTGCAGTGCTCACTGGTGGCCTCTGATGGGTCACATCTGTGCTGCACTTCGGTGCTCCCCCCTCTGTTCCGTGGGGCTGGTGCAGTGCTTCCTGAGGCCACCTGTGAACTGGGTCCAGAAACTGAAATGAGTCTAAAGAACTGGATAAAAAGAAGGGATGGGGTTAGTTTGAATTTTGACCAGTCCCGTAGCTTGACACATGGCAGTAGAAGTCGTACCGGTGTAAGCTGCTCAGGTTGTCATTGCTGCACAAGAAACATCTGGGGGAACACTGCCCGAACTGGCTGCTGGGCTTGGTAAATGAGAAGTCCCGATGATGCTGGAAGTAATGCTAACTTTCAAATATTAAAATCATACATATAAAAAAATAAATAATAAAGGTACATTTGTGTATCTACCATTTACTGCATACAATGTATAAAAGGAGTTTTCTGGCAGCCAGAGTGCTGTACACCCTGTTTTACATGTAACGGCTGGGAGTCCAGCATAAGCTATATGCTTAAGAATGTTTAAACATGATGATATGGACATGAAGAGTAGCTGCAAAGCATCTGGCACACCATCTCTTAACTGGTAATGTGCAGCTGGGGTTGTAACGTTTTACATCCCATTTCTGTATGGACATTCTCGTTACTTTAGACATCATATGCACTGGACATATGGAAAAATGAGAGGGGAACTTTATGGATTAGAAATGAAAAGACAGCTAATATGTGTGTAATAAGAAATTCAAGTATTTTGGTTGTTATGTTGGAAAAAGATTTTGTTGTTAAACTCTTCTTTCATATCTGAAACATTTCTATGAACAAGTCCTGATTGTTTTTTTAGTGAAATTCACATTTCCTAAAGTACTGCTATTATTGTGTCCAAATGCTGTGCTCAGTACATGTAACGTTTTCTGTGAGCATGGCTGTTGTGTGCCTTATATCCACATCTCAGGGTGCATTGCCTGCTGCTTCTTCTTGGAGTTTCATGTCTGGGGCATTCCTAATTTCTGCCAAAGCCTGCTCCGTGGTGTTGGTGACTAAATACTCTGCGCACTGGCTTCAGCTTTGTTACCTTGCTATTTCTATGGACTTACATTTGTTTAAAATCATAAAGATAGACATAACATACTACTCTGAAAATCATTAATGGTTTTCATGTCTGTAGGCCACTACATCGCGAGGAAACCAAAGCATGCTTTGAGAACTTTTCCTTTTTTTCTAGCAGGGTGGCTGGCATACAGAAGGCAGCTGTTCAGCAGTGCACATAATATGTGCTGGCAGCACCAGATAAACAGTATAAACACAGAAAGGCAACACTGAGGAAAGCTTTCATTTTCTTTTTAGTAGAAAAAGAGCTATTCATATCCCTGACTACAGTTTAGTTAAAATAATAATAATAATAATAATAATAATAATTAGTAGAATGGGAAAAACCCATGCTTCGGAATTGTGTGAACTGCTCACAACCTCTCAGCTGTCTCAGATGGGTTGGAAGGGACCTTAAAGTTCCAACCCCCTGCCATGGGCAGGGACACCTCCCACCAGACCAGGTTGCCCAAAGCCCCATCCAGCCTGGCCTTGAACACCTCCAGGGATGGGGCATCCACAGCTTCACTGTGCACTTCCCAGTTTATGCACATAAAATGCACATTTCTTCTTAGTGCAGAAATGTTGATTTGATATTAATAAACCTTCGGAGAAGATGACAAACTTTAGTGCTTTTTCATTGCTTTCCACTCCCACGCGTAGGCAAGGTGAGCATGTGGTGTGGTTGTGCAGGTGGAAGCTTCCTTTGTAGTTGTTTGTCTTGCGTGCCTCCTTGTGAGGAAATATGGAAATCAAAATTGCTATTATCCAAAATAATTTTTAGAAACACCTATGAATAAGTAGATAGCAAAGGATCTCCTTTAATTGAAATAGCAATTAAAAATACCCTGAGCCACCAGAAGCTGAGCTTTTTTCAGAGGATTGCCTTTATTACTATTACAGGTCCAGTTGAATCTGCTGTGCTGTGCATTTCTGAGTAATTGTCTGCGGTAGAGGAAGGTCTGTTAAGGTTAGAAATTACATTCTTCTCTACTACAACTAAAGAAATGGCTGCTTTCTGCCTGCCAGCGGCATGCTTAAAAACAAAACTAACCCAACCCACAGGGAGTTAAAATATTTTTGTCCTAAGTCGTCACGTCTGGCCGAGGAGTGACCTCAACCTTCTCCTGCTCTGAATCATTGCTGAGATAGCCACGTGCTCTAAATAGACTGAAGTAGATTACAGTGCCAGAAACTGTTTGTCTTTTCACGTGTCTCGGATGGCTAAATGAATACAACCTTGACATTGTTAAAAAGGGCGCTGCTACACCCAGTTACTGTAGGTGTAGTAGCAGATTAACCACTCTAACTGCTTTCATGTGTGTAATCTTTCCAATCTTGATCTGGTGGCCATGTTGCTTTTCTCCCGTGGCACGTAGGCAATGCTTGACCGTGGTTTTCATCCTGAAGCTGTTTTTTGCATTGGTTGGTGCAGAGAAAATACTCAGTTTCAAGGAGCTCAAATACTGAAAAAAAATAAAATAATAATGGTACCCTGGCAGGGTTAGGCTGCGTTTACATGTCACCCCCCTGTCCCAACAATATATTTGAAGGTTTAGAAGGTTCTTAAAGTGATCTTTCAAGAAGTACTTGAGAGTGGTGCTTTTCATACTTGCTGAAATTCTCTGTACTCAAATTAACCTAAGTTGTGATGTAGTAAGTCTGATAAAGCCAGCACACGGTTTCTGGCAGTAGTCAAAATTAATACTTCAGAAGGAGGAGAGATGCTGGAAGCAAAGAAATTCTTTCCTGATTGTTATTTTCTTGCATTTATGATCAAACCCATAATTTGCAAAATTATAAACCTTACTGGTAAAAAAGCTGTTAAAGCCTTCCCTTACTGTCACCCATTAAGATGTGAATGAGAGCTTGCTTGCTTGCTTTTCAAGTAGAAATGAGAGCTGTCTCACCTGGTACTTTGAATTACAGTAATTCTTCCTAGGCTGTTTTGCCTTCACAAGGTGTATATATTTTGGATTTTAGCAGTTTAGTTTTGTGTTCTGACAGCAAAGAAAAAAAAAGAAATTAATTGTTACCTCCTTAGTAGCTTCCAGCTTTTGTTTTCTCCTACAAGTATGTTACACAGCGTCCTAAGTTTTGATGGCATCTCTGAAAAGAAAGAATAGTTAACTGAAACAGCTTCATTTTCTTTAGATAGCTTTCCTGAGCTTACAGTTTTGGGGGATGGTGCTGTCCTCACCTTTCCCTCATTTTGTACATTCATCCATTTTGTGAGCAATCCAAAACATATCTAGGACCTCAAAGATACAATCTAGACAGCGGTGACAAGCTCTAATGAAGGATATGTTGTTGTATAACATGAATATATTGAGTAGCTCTGCACTGTGTTAACCATGGCAATAAAACTATGGTTATATCATTACTGTAGTTTGGAAGAATGAGCAAGAAATTTTCAATTCAGAAAATAACTCTGGGATCAAAGCATTAGTTGCCAGTGGAGCTACATCCATAAACTTCCTCAGGTGTTTGGAACAGCTACCTTATGATGCTCTTGTGCTTTATATAGGTTCTTATGCTACTTTTATATTTGTGATATCTGAGGATCAAATTATAATACCAGTAACATATTAAATGCTTTTTCTAATAATTGTCTTGTGTTTTATTGTCTTTGCACCAAAAGACAATCTTTTTATTGTCATGCACCAAAATGTGCTTTCCAGTTTATAAGTTACATTTTTTTTTCCCAGTAGACACCATCCATTTGGAAATAATCTTATACACTGGTTTTATTAGATGATGTCTAGGAAGTACTCCTTACACATGTTTAAGTATAAGACATTTGTTAGCCTGAAATTGTAAAAGAAATTTTCACAAGACCTGTAACCATGTTGTTGCTCATGTGTTGCTCTCTGCAGTAGAAGAACAGCAAGGAGTGAGGAGGTAGAATTTAAACGCACCAGGGTAGAAGGTAATTTTGTAGAAGCGTATCTTTCTGTTCAGCAGGGACAGCAGAGAGAAAACAGTGCCAGGCAGCCAAGCAGCTGTGCTAAGTGCTGGTGCAGGAGCTGCCTAATGTTCTCTGACACAGCTCGATGGCCACAAGTTATTTGCAGCGTGTAGTGGGTGTTTCTGGACAGGGAGTCTGCACTGAAGTACAGTTATGTGAGGTATAAAAAGCTTTCATTGCCGCTCCTTTAATCAAATCAAACCTGATGAAGATAATAAAGATAAAAGCTTTATGTGTATAAATAAAAGATCTGGCTTTACCTTGCACTTTTGGGAAAGAAATCATCGTGATGAACATATAAAGAACATCGTAGTGGATGTTTAGTTTGTTAAATAAGAGAGCAGTGGGAGCAGGGGGCTGGAACAGGCTGAGAGGTGAAATTCTGTCTGTTTTGCTTCTCAAATAGCACATCTCTTTAATGCAGTCCATGTGTTCAGCCTTGCTTGGCTTAAGGTGGTAGAGTTTTCATACGGGGGGAGGTAATATTTGCAAATAACTGTTCTTTTGCTGTCTTTAACTAAGACGTATGTGTTGAGTTAGCTAGACATGTCTCTGCCTTACACAAGGAATAGAAACCCTGGTCATTTTGAGGGTTACTGTGTAGTTTGATTTGAGTGCTCTTATTCACCCAGTGACACAAATGCCCTCATTGTATGTACAATGTGTGAATAGAAACAAGACTGAAAACAGATGTTTTTATTATGGAGGGGAACGTTAGAACAATACTTCTAGGCTTTTTTTTTTTTTTTTTTTGGGGGGGGGGTATTTATTTATTTAGTTCATTTTGAAGTTCTTGGATAAAGTGGAAGTTGAAGTAGAAAACAATGAAGTTTTATCTAGAGAACCCATTTCAGCTCAGCTGCAAACCTCCACAGCTAAATAGCCGTTCACGGGAGATTAATTAGTTCTTCCTCACCTGTTAATTTTTAGTGTCTTTTGGGCCTCCTTCTTCTACTTCCCTACTGCCTTATTCAGGTGTTAGAACCACCTGTGGGTACTCTCCATAAGCACCCCCATTTGTGTGTAATGAAAGTCTTCAGCATACAAAACTCTGCTCAGGAGTGTGGAACTGGGTCCTTTGGTGCTCTTGTCCATGAGGGTCAGTGGATGAGCGTGTTTTGCCAGTGAATAGATTTGATGTGTTTGCTTGTGCCTGTGCTAACTGTCCTGTATGAGAAGACATGGGCTGAGTGGCATTTTTGTTTGTTCTGTGGCTGTGAATTGTTTGAACGCTCCTTTACGGTGTTTTGTGAATGCATCTGCCAGCAGTGAACCTCTTCAGCTGGAAGGATGCTGATGATAACGTGGGAAATAGGTGAGTAAAAGTTTAGCTGATACTTACGGTTATGACATGGATAGAAACTTAATCACAAACAATAATCCTCTTTATCAGCTGCCAATATCACTTGTCCCCCCTGTAAGGGATTAAGGGACATATTTAATGTGCTGGTTTACTTACAGAAATACATTTTCTTATAGATTCTTTCAGGAGGACTTGTACAACTCAAAGAAAAGAATAAGGCTGAACTGTGCTCTACTCATGAATTAATTTTTATGTTACTAGTGAAACATTGTTCTATTATTGGTGTGATGTTGGAGATGTGACTCCCTGTAGAATTGCAGGCTAGCACTATTTAGGAAGGCCACCTGAGTGGGTTAGGCTGGAATCAGCAAGTAAAAAAAGCTTTGGAGCCTTTTCATGTCACACTTACTGTTTGGTTTTCTGGTAGAGCAGCAGTTTTAAGATACAGCCAGATTCAAGAAAGAAAGAATTAGCCATCTTTCCTGAGAAGTAGCTTTTAAATTCTGAGAAGCACACCAGAAGATGCAAAGAGAGGATTTATTTTAATTTTATGCATTTAATATCTGCCCAGTATAAAATTACTCATAAGGGGTTGTTTGGAAAGCTGGTTAGCCATGCAGCATGTAGTTTTTCAAATCCTGTTCCTCTGCGTTCTGCTTTCCATGACACCATCCTTTAGGGACAGCACATTTGTTACAGGAGGCTGAATTGTTTCCTCTTGCAAAGCCTTACAGTCTTTGAATCTCCCACTGGCTGCTATCCAGAAAGAAAGATTTGTTGGTTCTGCCCGGTGTCTGCAAATGTGTGGTGATATTTATATCCATTGAGTTGTTTTCACTTTAGCTAGATCTGGTAAAACATTTGTGGCAAAGGCTGGGAACTTTGAAATAAAATTCTGTCCTTGAAGACATGCTCTGACTTCCACGGCATCCTTGGTTACTGGGTGGGGAGGAGGATCATCCTAGCTGGACTGGAGTCAGGAAACCTTTTAAGAAAGAAGTAAAGTTCAGTTTTTGAAAGTAAAACACTGTTTAGGCATGGACAAAAAGCAGAATATTGCTAAGCTAAGGGCTAAACTCAGACTTAAAGGTGATTCACAGTACTTTTTAGTGGTAGTCTTTATAATCCACTTAATTCTCTATTGCTGTACAGTTATGTTGAGTCAAAAGTCATCATAGATGGAACTTCTAAAATAAAAGTCTGCCTTTTTCTCATAACATTTTTCTAAATTGGTGACAACGAAGGAAGAAAGGCAGGTATTTCACTTCCATGAGCATTTCCAAGCCTGTTTTCTTTTCCCTCTTCAAGAAACTTCCACTAAAAAAGCAAGGCCAGTGGCAAAAAAAAACTTGTTTTGAGAAGCATTTCCAAGCATGAAAACAATACCAATGTAATGTTTTTGAAGTACAGTTTTTACTTAAATTAACAATGGTTCACTTGATCTTTGTCTGAAATTTCTTAGAGCTATTCACCACTTCCTCCAGATATGATTTAATAAAACTATTTTCTCAGAATTTTCCAGATGGTGGTTTTCTTTTTTAAAAAAGTAGTAAAGTTTTGGCTCTATACTTGGTATATCATAAAGCAAGGATTGTCATCGCCCCTTGAAAGCTGTTTGTGACCTTTGAGCTTGAAAATCCACAGGCTAATCAGTAGATTAAGTACTATGCAGGTTTAGCCCTGTTCTTAGCTTTGCTCCACATTTTCTGTACAGTCTTCAGTAATGAAAGTGGTCAGTCTGCCTGTAGGTTCATAGTCTCTGAAACAAGACTTACAGCTACCTTAGGAAGGAAATCAGGAAATATGTACTCAAGGCAGTGAAGGCTGACTTGGAGATTCTTAGAAAGATGTTTGTGCATGGAAATAATTTTCCTTGAATATGCATTCTCTTTTAACTTACACTTTTCAAATAGCTTTATGGCGTTAGCTGTAGAAATAATTTTTACTGGATGAAACATACATTGCATAAAACTTCTGGCTTAGTTCCGTATGTGTGACTGTAACTGGCTGAAGATCCAAGTACCAGCAAAAGGATGTGGTAAATTTTCCTTGGAACTGGCAAAAGTTCCTGTACTTGGAATTTTTAAAACCAGCCTAGATTGATATACTGGAAAATATACTGCAGAGAAAGACGGTGCTTTATTTGTAGGAAAGTAGGCTAGGTATTCCTTAGGCCTGTCTGTGTATGGCTAATGAAGTTGTAAATGATAGTTATTCTAATCCACCTTCGTTTTCCTGGTTTTGTTGGATGTGGCCGACAGAACGACTGAAGTCCTAAGTCTCATGCCAATGAAAATGGCAGTCGACGTTTCCTTGTTTAGTTTCTCTTGTTAAGTGTGGAGTGAAACTTCAAGGGTGTAGCTAAGAAAATATTGATTTTTTTATTATTATTTTTCTTCCAGATGAAGACTTGCAAGCATTTGCCCAGTAGGGTGGGGTAGAGAAGTGATCTTGATTGTGTAACTTCAGTCTTTGGCTCCGAAGCCCTGAGAACACTTGAGCAATATCTGCCTGCCGTTTGCCGTTGGCTAGATAATGTTGTTGTTTCTAGGTTCTGGACCATAGACTGACTTTCACACGAGCCAATGGCATGGGGCTTTCCCACACTTGCAACATCACTGGTTTTCCAGCAGTGTGCCGTGGCTTGTGTACAGAAGTTAAATTTCAACTGAAACGCCTTCTGCTCAGGTCAGTCATCAGTTGGGCAAAGCCGTGCTCGTTACCCAAGCCAGCAGCGTCTGTCAGTGCAAGCGCACGGTATACAACAAAATCATTTTGAAATACTACACCCTGGGGTTAAAGCTGTTACAGTTTTTCAGCTGCAAATTCTTAACAGGCTTGTCCCTGGCATGAGTTTCTGGAACACCTTCCTACAGCAGTAGTGGCTGAGGTGGCACCTGGGCGCTCAGGGACTGCAGAGCCCGACCTAGCCTGCAGAAAGGATTGCAGTGAGCTTGGGTCAGGGCCATGCAAAGGATCAGGCCCACAGGTGCAGGCAGACATGGTTGTGCCCAGCTGGAGGTGGATGCATGGAACACACTGCTTGAGTGTTGTGGGAGACCCTTGGTCCGAGAGGTTACAGAGATCTGGGTGTGCACGTAGGGGTACCTATGGTGAGGGTGTTCGAGCATCTGGTTTTGTTCAGCTCTGAAGCTAGAGGGCTGCTGGCTTTGTTTTTTTGCTTGTTTGTGGTCTGTCACCCTTATTTCTAAGAGAGATGCAAGTCTGGGGATTCTGGCACTGGCATTGGATTGATGTAATCCAATGACATGTCGCAGGAAGCTTGTCCTGTGGTTAGGGCTACCTTCTTTTGCTCGATAGCATGAAATTTTAGTGTTTTGGAAGGAAAGGAATTTAAGGTCTGATCTGTTAGCCCCTGAAATCAGTGGGAGTCACACACTGATTTTTGTTGTGTTGGCCTAGGAAAACTTTTGCAATACAGTAGCTAAGATTTTAATTGCCAGCACGGTTGAGTCTTTTGGAGGGATTTTAAGTAGGAATAGATGGTTAGGAAAGTGTTTCTGGTTTTGTCAAATTCCTGTAAAATTGGATCAATTCATACAGTTCATATTAATAATATTGTCTTTGCTTTTACCTGTGAGGAAGTTGACAAGTAAAATGAATGGTGAAGTAGTTCCCAAGTATTCTCTTGACATAACTCAGCGAGATTCAAAGTTTCCAGGGGACCGTTAGTCTTGCTGCAGTCTGTGCTGGCTCAGAAACAAAGGTGAAGGCGATTTAACACCTTTATTGTGATTTGAAGTAGCATGAATTAAAATGAAATATAGTGAATTTATAATACGTGTGCCTGTGGAGTTA